TTTCATCTCTGTTTCACATGAATAGGGATATATTTATCACCAGAGTAAATTGCTGCTCAATTTTAATCTCTGTTAAGTGAAAAGCCAATGTTGTGGAGACTAAATACAGTTGTGAGTAAATGGTAGACAGACTCTCACAGTGCACCGTAGAAGCACCCATCATCATAATATTTAGGGAGTGAAATAATGGACACAAATAAGTGAGAGTGTATTTTGCTTGAGATCCTTTTCTCATCAGAAAAACAGCTTTCTAAAAGAAGACATTATATCTCATCAGCTCTGGAAGAGTTGATGAAAGAAGAGTAATTAGGGTGCAAGGAAGTTGCACTAAGCACAGGACTCTCATCACGAGGTGTAAGCCAAACAGCACTGATATTTTGTTTATTACTAAGGCATAAAGGTAGGGAGCTGTGAGCAGCTCTGGCTGCTCCCTTTGCTCTCCTCTCAGTTCAGCCAGGAATATGTCTCTTGACTTCCAGCTTGTTAGCAAACCACCAGGACTAAGATCTCATGTTCAACATTAGTGTACTTCATTGTTGAGGGACACCTGAGGAAGATGGAGGGCATTTATACAAGTGTGTCAATGTAGAAAAGGGGGACAGAGTTTTTGAAACAGAGATACCTACATTTCTGTTTATTCTAAAATAGAAAACAAGTGATTTGATAGAGAAAATGTTGTTAGAAATGACCAAGTTGGGGAGTTAGAGAAACAGGTCAACATGAGGTTAGAATAAATGGATTACAAGAGCAGCCTTCTTGCTTCCCAGGCAGCATCTGACTTTAAAAGATGTACTTTCTCTCTACAGTTCTTTGTGAGAAATGGGCCCATCCAATAGACTGCTTATTCAGGCTGTGCTGGACATGTTTCTTATTTTTGAATTAATTACCTCTGGGAGCAGACTTTCATGATAAAAGGAGTCTAAGCAACAAAGTTAGGATTAACTTTTAAGATAGTGGGAAATACACCATCTTGAGATAGTGGACAGCGATGAGGCCAAGCGTTGTAAAACTCGTAACAAGTGCTGGCGAGTTTCCTGCCGAGAGCCTTGGTGTGTACTTTTCCTTGATGATAAATCCAAGTGAAGACAGTGGATTCATTTGTCCTTAAAATGATCTTAAAATTGGATTCTCACTCTCTCACACATGCACATGTGTTTGTAGTGGGCTTCAAGAATCTGCAAGAGAAAGGAGAATCTTTTTGTTTGGAGAGGACTCGATATATCAGGATTTCAAATTTCTTAATACACTAGAAATTAGCAGGGTCTGATTGTATGTAGTAAAACGTCAAAGAAGAGAGCTATCAAACAAACCCTGTAGGGACTTATATTGGAACCAGTGTTAGCTGCAGCTGATTTATAGGGATATGTAAATTGAACACGATTCTGATTTTCAGACAGTAAAAATGGTGAGGGATTGCAAATGCATTGGAAGATAGAAAAAATAAAATAAAAAAGAATGATTTAAGGAGTCTAGTGGCATGTGCAAACAACAGTAGGATAAGATTTAATTTAGATAGATGCAAAGTAATTTGGCTAGAGAATGCCAATACTGAGCTGAAGAAATAAATGCATGATTGTAAAGAACAGTGTTGTGACAGAGGTCCTTGGGTGATAATAGATGATAAATTAAAGGCAAGGACAAAGTCTGATGCTGTTCTGAGTAAATAATTTGCTATTTGTTTTATACTTGCATAGGAGAAAGGGATAAGAATTTGGAGCTAAAACAGTAATCATGCTTCTCCTTCCCTTCCCACTGGCTCACTACATCTCCCTGGTAAGAAGGAAACACACGAGAGAAAAGTTAAAATAAATTACAAAGAATTCAATGAAGGATAATAACAATATGGAAAAGTAGATTGCAGGCCATGACCACAAAGAGAAATTGAAGGAACTGATGATGTACAATTTACAGAAAAGATGAAAAAGAAGATGAAAATATTTATACTATAACAGAATAGAAGTCAAGGAATTATTCTATATGGTAAAGGACAGCTGAGAGTAACTTGAACATTGAAAAGGGAAAATTACTTTTTACAGCAAAGGGAAAAAAATAACCTGCCAACAGCAGGGTTGATGAGACAGTGGAACATTTGCTAAAAAACTTCTTAGAGACCCCATCACCTAGACTGCAGGTGGTCATAAGAGGACATTTAATGAGTTCATTATGTGGAAGGTGATTGTATGTTAGTGCTGAGGGTTGAAATAGTGCTCAGTAACCTAGGATACCAATGCATTCCATTTACCTCTGATTCCAAATACAAAAAATCAGACTATAGCATTCATATTTTTATTCCACAGCTGTAAAGCCCAAAGAAATCTCAATTCTTTCTTTGCTATTGTTATGGGTCTCAACACTGCATCTGTCAGCCGGCTGTCTCAGACCTGGGAGGTAAGACACATCTTTGTATCTTTTAGACCCTGTCAAAACCATTTCTCACAAAGGTTGTGTACTGGTGAATTACCTTTTCTTTCTAATTATTTTTTTTTTTTCATACTGAAATCAAACATTTCAGTTTGATTCAGGAGTGAGTGTTGGTAGAGGAACTGGCACTCTGTGACCTGAAACCTTAGACACACAGCTATTCAAATAAAACTAGGTATGTCCTTACAGAACAGTTAAATAAAAACAGAGCAAGAAGATCTTACTCTCTTAAAAAAAAAAAAAAAAAGTTGGGTAAGTTATCCTAGCATTTTAAGTAGATGTCAGAACAGAAAGTCTTACAAAGGTGCCTCCAAACAAGCAATGCATTACTACAGAATAGTTTAATTTTTAAAAAATACGAAGTAGAAATAAACCCTCTTCAGTTCTCCTTTATCAGCTCATTTTCAGCTGCTCATCTTGAATAACAAAGTTAGGAAATGGACCATGAATAAGAAGCATACTGGAGAACAGATTATCTGCTAAAGAAGCTACCAGTTGCTAGACAGGGCATGGAATGTTTAGAGGAGGGTCCCACTGGTATCTGTGTTTATATTGTGGATTTTTTTTTTCCATCCAAGTGAATTGTTGAGTGGTAGTATCTGCAAGCTTACTGTATCTGCTGATGACCCAGAAATTGGAAAAGGAGTTATTTACTATGATGAGGTGAACCCTTATTGCTCCCCCACACCCCCTACACCACAAGCACGCAGTACTTATAAAAAAATCAATCTATAATACAAAGTGACAGAGAATGGCTGTGATCTCCTGCCTTGGAGAGACTCTTGAGCACCAACAAGTGAAACCAAACAGCCAGCAGAGATGTACAAACCTGTCTAACACAGCCCAGAGCAAAGCCTTCCCCCTTAGCTGAATTCATGCATATGGAAACATGACTGTGTATGTCATACGTGTCTGGCTCTGGCAGACAGACAAACAAAGGCAACGACTGCTTTACAGGAACTCTGACAGGCAAGGAGGAGTTACCTTCCAATAACAGGAAAAGCCAAAATGTTAGAGAACTGAGGAGGATGATACAGAAACCCTTTGTCTCTCCTGTTTCTAAAACACCCTCTGGGCAACATTTGCCATTGCCTGCTCCTGTAGGCTGCCTTCATCCCATTTCTCTGGGCTTTGGTAGGAGCCTGGAAGTGACTTTACTGTATCAAAGGCACTCAGTGGTGATGGTGTAGATCTGTCCCCTGCAGAAACACTCAAAACTCTGCTGTGTGGTGAAGCCTCTGGAGATCATACACTGCTGGTGGACTTCTCTAAGGAAGAGCAGAACATATTGCTTGTAGGAACAAGGAGGGCTTCTGCATATGTATCATTGTAAATATGTCACTTTTCTGTGTGTAAAATATTTATGAAGTCACTTTTTTTTTTATTTTTAAAACTTCACTGCACTGGAAATTTCAAAAGCAGAAGGTTATTTGCATTAGTAATATGACTTCTAGAAAGTAGAGCAATGTTTATAAATTAATTATAATTACTTACTCATGTTAATGAAACCACCTAAATTTAAGCAACCATTTAGAAACTAAATGATATTGGCTCTGCACTTGAATTCTTAAACAAGTAGTATGTTCCCAAGCATATTCATTACCTTTTTTTTTTCCCT